CTTGTGCAGGACTCCCACCGCCTCTTCGCACGCTCTGAACGCCACAAAATCCGAACTCTCCACCAAAATCTGCTGCCTGTTATCATTATAACAGCAGATAAACAACCAGGACTCTGATACCAAATTGAGGCATGTGCTCTATCTCAACTAAAAACATGATGACACAGAAGGAAGATTCTTACATTATGGTCACGACAACCTCAACACCTCCGAGGCGTTTGAAATCATCCTTAACATCGTCATCTCCGACCTCAAGAACCGTCCTGAGCTTCTTCAAGCAGCTGACCTTAAACGGGGTAGTCTCCACCGCGCTAAGCAAGGACACCAACTCATCACGCTTGGACGACGAGGATCCGGCGCCGCCGACCGCGGCGCCGCCGGCGGATTGTCGCCATGCATGGATGAGCCGCTTGAGCGTGTGATTGGGCGTCATCTCCAACCTCTCAATGCTTTGCATGGTGGCCGGACATGTCTTCTTGTTGTAAGTGTGAAACCAAGTCTGGATGTTCTTCCGCTCGTAGGTGACGCCGGTGGAGATGGTCACCGGATCTTTCATGACCTCCATGGAAATGGGGCACCTAAAATGCAAAGGAAAGTCCATGGAGGATGATGGGTTTTGGTTTTCTTGAAGATTTTTGTTGCGGTTTTCCATGGAGGGTGGTGGGATAGAGACAACAACAGTATATATAGGTTTTTTTTTTTTTTTTATATGTGGTGTTGGGAGTTAAGAGGTGAGTGGTTAGGAGCCTAGGACTAGGAGGGTTGTGGAAGTCTAATAAATGAAATATGATGAAAACCTCAAAAATAGATGAGTTTTTAAATGGAAAATAGCTGTTTATGCACTGTTGACATCGCTCAACAAGGAAGCAAATTGGAAGAGTCAAATCCCTTTAAATTTACTTTTCCAACAAAAAAACTTACTTGATAGTGTTGCTCAAAGAGTAGGGTCAATTCTGTTAAAAAAAATTAAACTCGTGATCTTTTAGTACGATATCTATGATTTACCTATTTGATCACCTGTTTTAGTTATACTTTATATACTATTTGGACAAAGGGTATGTGTTTGTACTTATACAAAAAGTACTAGTAAGTATGATTAAATTCTTTGATTCAGAAAAAAGTTCATAACCGCTTGCATTCTGGGTGAAGTTTGATTTACATTTTGACCATAACCAACAAATGATCATAATGAAGTAAAACAACTTAGGTTGTTCATAGGTAACCAGTTCAAACATATCAAGAAATATTGTATGTGGTCACAAGGTTTCAAGTTCGATTTCAAGTAGGAGTACTGTCTTATTAACCTTCTGAGTTTGAGTCGATCAGATATGGATAAACTGATTTACCTCTAATCTTGTGATTCTTTGTCGGCTAGGATTATAACTCAGAATTTATCAATACACACTTTCAAATAGTAATTGTGAATTTCTCTTTATCATCTAAAATAAAAACAAACTAAACAATTCATTATCGAGCCACACTTACACAATCAACTACTAGAATGTGCTTGATTATTATCCCATATATCCGACTCCATAACTCACAAACAAACCAAAATATCATATCCAAAGTCACACCTACACTATCATTTGCTATCCTTTATCATGGTCGAGCCGCACCTATACATGCATGCTATTCATGGTTAGAAATGGTTTGATCCCATATGGTGATCCCCGGATCCACAACTCACAAATGAACCAAACTACTCTGGTCTAGGTCTCACATGCATTATTGCCATACAGCCTTGAAGAAAATTTCTCTTTATGAATGTATGATCAAATATGGTAATTCCAATACTTCAAAAAAAATCACAAGAATGGGATATTCCTATGTTTTTGCTTCTTTTTTTTTTTTTTTAAGGTAACTAAGCTACTTTTAAAAAATCACAAGTTTTTCTTTGTTGTGACGAGGAGTGAAATAAGCAACCACTATCACATGGGATAGGAGAGGTAAATGGCATTAGAACCATGTGCGACGAGTTCAACCAATAAGGTGTTTGGCAAAAATCAAACTCCTTATCTTTTTTTTTTTTTTTTTTTTTTTTTTCGTGATCTTCTATTCTAGTTCAAGAATCAACTACTTCCAAAGAATGTGCGGCACTGAATAAACCATACCTTGTGACCCTAGTTGACAAAGAATCACAATAAGACAAATCAGCATATGTTGACATCTCCTCAAACTAAGAAAGCCAATTAATTACTCCTAACAAAAGTTAAACTTGAAATTTTGTAATTACCAAACTAATCGTATTACTTTCTAGACTGGGTCTTCCTATTTTTGATATGCCCAATGGAAGTGCCATTGGATTTGGAATTTTATTCTTCTAGGTATATGTGTATATATATATATATATATATATATATATATATATATATATATATTTTGAAGAAAATATGGAGAAAGAAAAAGGTTGATAACAATTAATGAAAAATGTGATCTCATAAAAGCTTGCGGACCGGTCAGGGGGTTGACTTTAATTAAGAGATTAGATCCAAAATTGCGTATGACATGCGGGCGGGCATGGGTTTCATTATAATTTATAATTATAATTATGAACCGATCGAAATTGTGAGACAATAAAATAATACGAAAAATGAACATTTCAACACTTAGAAATGTAGCTGCAGTAGTGTGTATTTGTATATTCAAACCTTTGCTTACATAACACCGGCGACGACTGCGATTCTTTCACACCTTATTTTATCTCTTTTTCTTATATTCTGTTGAGCTGCCTCTCTGACTCTCTCCCTCCATATTTTGTTTTTCCATTATTATTATTATTATTATTATTGAAAAAAAAAAAAAAAAAGAGTTATGCCATTAATTTGTCACCCAAAAAAAAAAAAACAAACAAATTAAACATGCCACTAAGATATACATTCATTCACAATAATACCTGGGAATCAATTAAATTTAAGAATATGTTAATATCTTGATGAGTAATAATACTATGCAGTATGCATGAATATTTTCGATGGAAAAAATGTTGTCCACAAAAGAGGAATATTAGCAAGTGATCAATTATAAATATGTGTTCATATTACAAAGAGGCCGGAATTGAATATCCTTTATTATAATTTTGAATCTATAGGGATTAAAGTTTAGAAACTTGTCACACGAAACCAACGTGCTGCCACCCATAAAACAAAGAAGAAATCAACAGTAGGTGGCCATGAGGGATCAGAAGATCAAATTTAGCTGTTAGAATTAGACTCAATCATATGGTGGTTGCACAATTAGGATATTTGTAGCATACTGATCATACGAAATCATAAATCAGATCACGAGTTCGATTTTTACAAAAAATATATTGATCAAAATTAGTTATTATAGTCTTGAAAGGGCTGATAAAGTAAAATATAATTTTCGTACCAAAAGATCACAAGTACAATATTTGGTAATAATATCTAACTCACATTCAGTGCAGTTTACTATTTACCTCTCATGTTTAGTACTCCGTATTTAGTAATGTCCAAATTTAGTGCAGTTTACTCTTTTAACGCTTTCAATAAATGTATTTGGTTTTTTTTTTTTTTTTTTTTTTTGAAAATGTATTTGGTTAGTTATATACATTTTTTAAAATGATATTTTAAGCGATTGACTTGTAAAATATTAGGGAGTAATTGTTTATTAAGCACAAAAAGGTTATAGCAAGACTATGTGGTCCAATGGTATCCGAGTTGGACTTTCATTTGGAAAATTGTGAGTTCGAGCCTTAGTGGAGGCGTTATTATCTCTTTGTGTTCCAGTATGTTGAGAAAGTAAAAGGTTATATTCTTAGCAAATGGATTATAATTCTACGGTACTACTTTTTTCTACTCGACCCCGTGAACATAACGCCAGGGGTGGTAATAAATTATGTGTTGATGTTACTATCAAAGGGCAGTGGAATTATGTCAAGTGCAGAAAGAGAGAATTACAGAGTTAATAATCCATTAATAATTAATTAAGATTGATTATGAAATGAAAATTGACTAGAGGATAGCATGATTATCGGCCCAGGTGAAGGCAGATATGAAGGTCAAATAGGGACCATGTGCTTATATTCTTAAGGTGTTTATAAAGATTAAAATGTAAATATTAATCACATTAAAAAAAATGTTCGTGAATAGAATATGATTTTCGTGCTTTAAGAGTCACTACAATAAATTCCCGGAGGGCCTCAAACCCTTGTTGGAAAAAAAGATGTTAGAGATGTTGCTACTAGAAGAATCTACTAATCCTGAGACCTTTCGATCCCTCTGTCGTGCCAAAAAAAAAAAAAAGAGAAAACAATAGTGACTTTTGTGAGGCGAAAGAGAGAGAAGACGAAGGTTTATTGTGGGGCTCGCAGAGGAAGAAAAAAAAAAAGGAAAATGCTATGTGTACTCTCATTTTCTATTCCTAACTTGTACTCCCACACACAAAACTTTGATGTAGATACTTGTATTGGGACCCACATGAAAAAAATAACTTATCAAAGCTCACCACATCAGAAATTAAATTTAGAGAGCAAGATTTGAGACTACATGTAGTAGAACTCGAAAAAAAAAAAAAAAAAAAAAAAAAAAAAACTCTATTGGTGCACGTTTTGCGCACTAGCCATGCAATACAAAAATGAAAAATCTAACCAAAAAACCTCACTATTGAGGTTATTCTAAGAGCACGGGTTCGTTTCTTACACCATCTCGAAGTAATTTATGAGCTATTTATTATACAGAAACGGGAGCTATGTAATTTATGCATGTAAAGATAAAGAGTCTTACTCAAGTATTCCTTGGAATAGGGTCTAAGGTGTAATGACCAAGCCTTCCTGTACGATATAGATTGAGTAATTTAGCAGCAACTTTATGTACATTATCTTCTGATTCAGAAGGCAAATAAAAAGCTTTCCTCAAATCTGCAAACTCTGCTTTGATTAGCTGTAACAAGCTTTCTTCATCATCCAGGTTTCCATTGAAAGATGAAATAGCATCAAAGAGAGTTTTCCGAACATTGTTTACGATGAAATCCTGCACAAAATTTGTTAAATTTCATTTCCACCTATTAAACTAATTGGTGAAAATTTGAAATTTGGCCTAAGATGGCATTCATTAGAAGGGACAAAAATGGTTATAGTGTATTTTCTTTCTCTTTTTAAGAGCAAATTCCATTTTTTTTGGTAATGAGGGAAACCTGCAACCACTATCCGAAGGTGTGCACTTGATAAACACCACCTTATAACCTTAGCCGGCAAAGGACCACAAGGAGGCAAACCAGCCTAAGTTGCCTATAGTTAACTGACTAATTCAAGAAGGCAAATAGATCGCTCCAACTAGGAGTTGAACTTGGAACCTTGTAGTTATCAAGTCAACAGTCTGACCAACTTGGTTGGTATTGTCCCCAGAGCAAATTCCATTTGACATTTACAAAACAAGTGCAAGAAAGGTTAGAAGGCTAGGGGATTATACAGTCACCAATATAAGCTAAACGATTATGAAGAATAGTATACCTGTGTGCGATCTGTCAAATGTTGCTTTTTCTGTGGTGTTTAATGGGGCTGCCCTAGAATAAAATTGATAGTATACCTGTGTGTGATCTGTCAAATGTTGGCTTTTCTGTGTTTTCTCCAAGTCAAAGCCATCATTAGTGGCTGCTACCATGTCTTTCTCAATGGCACACAACTTCGCCCATTTCTTGTATTCATCACTCTGGTTAAGGATTGCTAGAAAATACTGAGCAAGCTCTATTTCCCCAACCAAGCAGTCTTGGATAGCACCTGGATTGAGAAGGGGAAACCAGTCTGAGAAATTGATGGAAAAGCTTATTGCTTACATGCATGAATCTCTTACATCATTTTCATATCTTAATTTTCTCCCAAAAATTAAGTACATTCTTTTGCTTATGTTTCCCTTCTCTTTTACATTGGTTATTTGGGACAGTATAATTATGTTCTAGTCATCAAAGTAACATTGCGGGTACCTGTCAAAGCTAGCTTGCAGCACAGCTCAGCATCAGGAATGTCAGGAGGCAAAATACCAGGTGTGTCCAACACATAGATATTAGGATGGCTAGCAATCTGATTCACACATCGAGAAAAACATGCTTGTCAAAGAGCAATAGAAGAAAGAATAATGAATGCATCGAGAAAATTAAATGGCTCCAGCATAACAGAATTCTTCAGGTGGGGCACTTTAAATTCTCGTGCCCATAAGTTGAAGGAAACAAACAAAAACACAAAGTGACAAATTAAAATTAAGAATCCAAACCCATGGTGTTCAGTTTTGGGTTCCTATGAATACTTGAATGCCAAAGGAGAAGAAAAATATGAAATCCCACAAACTTATGTTCAGTTTATTAGATATCTTGAAATACAAAATGGATGACTCCTATCAAGACCAAAGAATGGGAAAGATTTTACACCTTTAAGCTGCTAATGTTTTTAGTCTCCCCTGGCTGAGGACTTACAGTAGCATGCTTTAGTTTTCCCTTCTCTTCAAATCAATGTAATATATACGTATCAGAATGTCAGAAGCGATCAACATTTTATAGCAATATATTATTAGGAATTGATGTACCTGCTGCACTAATTCGTCCAACTTGATGCAACGAGTTTGCAAGGGCAGACTTTCCAACGTTAGGAATGCCAACAAGCATTAATGTTATAGTACGACTAGAATGCCCACTATTTATTAGTTCTCTTACTCTGGCTTGCAGAAAATTCAGGAACTGTCAAAACATAGGGAGAAATATTAATGCCTATTAGTATATAGCGTATTTAGAAATGGCTTCCTCAGGTTTCCCTAGTCCTTGCTTACCTCCTTAATGTTATCTTTATTATGGGAATTGACTCCAAAAGCTACATTCCCCTGTTCTTCAAAATAATGCATCCATTTCTATAAATAAAAAAATAAAATAAAAATAAAAAAGTGTCTGCAGTGAGCACACATTTATCTCCCACAAATAAATCTGGAATGATTGAAATTAGAACATATCAATAGTTCGGTGCAAAAGATCCTTTGCAATACTTTAACATGCCCGCATCCAACAAACGAGAACTTGCAGCACTATTCGTATTAGAATCATAAAAAAATCACATACCAAAAAATAAAAGTACGGTCTGATAAGCAACAATCTTTCTAGAAATAAAAATCACATTGGAAGAAATACAGAGAGGAAGAATAATAAAATTCATTACCTTCACCTTTGAGCGATTTGCAAGGTCTGTCTTGTTAAGAACTATAATTCGCCTCGCAGAAGATGAACATTTTTTCAGCAGTTTGTATTTTGACGACAAAGGGATCTGAGCAGAGGTAGGATGTAGATTCCAATATTAAAGAAAGTATAAGCAACTTGTTCTCTTAATAACCTTCCAAGCATGACATACACCATACTTCTATTTTTCTACATTAACAGAAACATTTTTGAACCATCACGTCCATTACTTATAGCCTCTCCTACTTGCCCCACCATCCAGCCAAGTTGGTCAGGCTGTTAACTTAGTAACCTTACAAGTCCAACTCCCAGCTCCAGCCTTCTTGGTTTTAGCCGGTCAGTTATGGATAACTTAGGTTGGTTTACGTCCTTGTGATACTTTGCTGGCTAGGGTCACAAGCGGGATTCACCTAGTGTAGTGGCTATGAGTTTCCCTCATCATTCAAACTTAATTTACTCAGTACCATTGGTGTAAATGTACTGTAAAATATATATTTGGAGCATTCTCCTCCACTTAAGAATAATTAAGCTCACAAACTAATATTTCTCATTTAAGCAATTAATTTCATCATCCATCCAACTTGAGTTCAATCCATGAACCACTATACAATATTACAATATAAACAAACTCGCTAAGCCAAACTGCCCAGAACCCAGATAGTAAAAGACAATTACGAAGCAGCATCACCCAGCAGCAAGTCAGTTCATTTAAGCATTATATCGAACACCTAGCAATACCCATTGAAAAACAAAGCGAATACGGATGGAATGGAGCACATACCCTGGCATCTCGGACTTCGAGTACGAAATCGACCAGTGGAATCCGCTCGGCGATGGCATGAGACGCGGCGGCCACATGAGGAGTGTACCACCAGCTCGAGCCTTTGTTCCTTGCTACTTCCTTAACTGCGTTGCCTAACTTTTGAACTAAACTATGCATTAATGGCTTCATTGCTACTTCCTTAACTACATTGCCTAGCTTTTAAAGATAGAATGGCGCCGGCGTTCGGTTGCTCCGGGAGCTTGAGAGGCTTCACCGTTTCAGACTTATGTAGTTGTGTTGCGTTTTTTTTTTTTGTTTTTTTTTTTAATTTTTGATAATAACCAAATTATATCCGGGATTATAAGATAAATCAAGTCATTAAATTATACATTCGCGGCAAAAATTAAACCCCACCTCCAAGGTTGAAAGTAAATTTTAAGTGCCTCTTCTATTCACTTAGACTACTGTTTTTAAGTTGTTTTTATTTTTTAGACGGGTAAAAAAGTAAATATTTATGTAAAATTAATTGAATCATCTAAAATTGAAATCACGTATTGCCACTTTTGGTCGCTCTCGACCATTATTTATTTTTATATTTAGTCTCCAACTTTTTTTTTTACATTTGGTACAGAAATATACTTTTATTATCATTTTTAGTCCTGTCATCCAATCTCTGATAATTACTTGCCAAAAAAATTAAATTTTCTCTCATCTAGATAGCTTAAAAAAAAAAAAAAATCGTCAATTTAAATCTAAATAAACAATATTATAATTAAACTTTGCTTTTGTAGAACCCTATGATGATAGGAAATTTACATTTTTGCCAAGTGAATGCAGGAGATTCGGTTAGCAATTAGCATGACCAAAGACGACAATTTTCATCAGATGTGATAAAATTAATACTTAAGGACCAAATGTGATAAATTAGGAGTAGTTGAGTAGAGGTGACTAATTCATCCTTAACTAAACAGTAACAGGGTATTTGGTTGGAGGGAGGAATTATGTGGGAAAGGAATTGTAATTTCATGGGAGTTGAATTACTGGGAATAAAGTGAGAATTTAAATTCCAGTGTTTGGTTGACTGGAATAGAATTACTGTGAATTTCAATTCCAATGTTTGGTATACATGGGAATTGAAAGGAAATAAGTAGTATAAAGTCAAAAATGTCCATTATTGTTGTTAGACATTAATTTTATGTTAAAAAAGGAAGGGGTAATTTTGACTCATCACTATCCTTTTTTTTCAGGAATTAAAATACCAGGGGGGACATGGGATTTTAATTCCATGAAAATGGGGGAATTGCAATTCCCTCCAACCAAACTACGGAATTTAATGGCCTTTAAAATCCCTCCAACCAAATACCCTGTAAGGATTCGAGCCTTAAATCTTCCGACCAGCTATGTGAGAAATTAGTCCAAGTGAAAGGGATTTATTCAGTCTAAACCAAATGTCATTATGTCAATAGTTTGATACTTAACTTTGGGTATGGAGCAATCCCAAACGGGAACACAAAAAAAAAAAAAAAAAAAAAACATACAATTATTAAGCAAGCTTTTGATATGAAAAGATGAAAGCATAGTTTTGCTTCCTCTCCAAATAACAACATATGACAACAACATAGCAGAAACATGAAAACTGGCTATATCAGCAAAGCCATCCCTAAACTTCTCCAGGTTAAACTTTGGCATCTGGTGAGTTAGAGAAGGATATTGAAATCAACTTAGACCTGTACTTGTCATCACCATTACCATCTCCTACACCCTTCACCCCATTCTGCAAATCCAAACCAGAAGCTGCAGCAGCTTTCTTCCTTGCTGGAGCTGAGTGAGATATTGAAATCAGTGACTCCCTTATGGCTTCCTCAAAAACCTCCTTCCCAACTTCCTTGTTATCCATACCAACAACGATTCCTAAAAACATAACACATCGTTTAATTTGGTATCAAAATCATACCCGAACAATATAAGATGCGAGGTAGCCTAAATGGCTGATGTCCATCTTGTTATCTTGCAGGCTTCAGGAGACAACCCAACCAAATTGGTCAGATCTGTTGGTTTGGTAACTACAAAGTTCCAAGTTTAACTTTTATCAGGACAGTCTATGGCGTTCTTGATTTGAACTGATCAGTTATAGGTAGCCTAGACAGATTTACCTCATGGTGATACTTTGCCAGCTAGGGTCGAGTTTACCTATTGTACACTCTCGAATACAACACAACTTAGCAGACTTCCCAACAACAACAATGTATGTACTAATGACAAATGTAGAAAGTTAACAGACAACATAAGCCACATAAAGCATGATTCATTCATGTCTTCCAATGTAAAGATTTGTGTCCAAATCAAGCATTAACACCAATTAAACACAGGATTTCTCCTCAAATCAATTACAGATTTCCAGGTACAGCACATAATAATAGAGCAAACTAAGAACATTAATGGAGTCCAGGCAGTAGAAAGCAGAAACCAGCTAGTTTAATTGACAGTAGGGCTCAGTTTCCATTATACTAGATCTGAAACTTACACACAACAAATCTTTAAACCTGAAAAGTGCCCATCAAACTTAAACACCAGATTATGCCTTGCAGAAACGCAGTGAAAACTGAAAACCAAGCGACAATTTTGCTTCATTCACAGAAACTTAAACACAATGAAAACGAACAAAAGATTTAAGATTACCTTCCAGAAATAATATTGGAAGAACAAAGAGATTTGGGGAATTACCTATAGAAATTTGAACGATGTTTAGCCGATATAGTAACTAACGTTGAATGGCTCGATCAATACCCTTTTTGTCTTCTCGGACGCTGGGTTTTATCCATTTCAATAGCTTGGTTCACACAACGCCAACTCCACACCTACTCATTCATCATGTTTAAATTACTATTAACAATATTAAACACAATCCGCACGACAACACGTGAAAAATGCATTGCGTCTACCCATTTTAAAGAGAGTTGTCCGCATGAGCAGCTTAATTGATCACATGGATAAAGTTTGAAAACAATAAGTATCAAGTCTCAGGCAGTGTGAGAGGATCCTCTCAAGGTGAGAGGGCTCCTGGTGCACAGTAAACAAAGATCCAGCATATCAAATGCTTTGTGGGGCCGGGGCATGAGAGCCTGGGTAGGGGATTCAACCTTCTGAAAACAACAAGTAATGTTGTCCAACAGTTGATTTAGTAGGCTATGTTTGGCAAACCTAGCTGAAAAGGTAGTTGAAAGCTTATAAGGAGTGAAAGTTAAAAAAAATTATAAGTTAGGAGTTGGAAACTGAAGAGCTGTTAAAAGCTAGCTGTTATGTTTGAAAATGTTTGGTAAACTTAGTTTTTTGATAAGCTAATAAATGTAAAAAGACAAAAAATAACATCTTCATAAAATTTAAATTAATTATATTAAAATTTAACATTTTGTCTTTAAAAAAATTATCATTTTGAAATAAAATTATTAGCATAATTAAGACCTATTATCCCATAATGAATTAGCAATATTGTTGCAAATCTCCTTCATCCCATAATAATAATAATAATAATAATAATAATAATAATAATAATAATAATAATAATAATAATAATAATAATAATTGCGGTGAAAGTTGCGGCTAAAGGAGAAGAGAAAATGATTTTAATTGGGAAGGGTAAAGATGTCATTTCTTTAAAATAATAATGATAAAGATGGGGAAAAAAAGTTAGAAAGCTGCTAGCTTATTTTGAAACGCTATGGTAGCGCTCCAAAATAAGCTATTATTTTAAGCTACGGGCTTATTTTGAGAACATTACTAAACAGAGGTTATATCTTATTAGTAACTTAAAATAAGCTATAAGCTATACGCTCTACCAAACAGAGCCGTAATCATAATATCTTAATATTAACTTTGTGAGAGTTACTTAATGTTTACTTTCTCAGGTAGTTTGTGGACTATTATATATAAACAATAACCAGATTTACCCAAAATAAACAAAATATGACATCATTAGTAACAATTTTGATTTATTTAGCTCACTCTATCACAACTTACTCATATAGACAATGTTGGGGTGTGGACCCCGATGGGCTAGGAGGCCCAAAATATGGGATACGAATAAGAAAAGCAGGCTTTGAGATAATGGGTCGAGAGGCTAAGGCCCAAAACTTAAAGGAACAAGGAGCCCAATAAGAATGTGAGCCAGATTCAGGGACTTGGCCGGGAGGGGGCCGAGTCCGGGCAGTCAGCTTGAACAAAGGTTAGTGCGTCTGAGAATCGGAACCGTTGCCCACTAATTACCCGCCATCAATGACAGTCAACTCTACCGTTCAAGGAGTCCAGTAACGGCTTTGACCTTAAATGGCGCCTTTAATACGCATTTACTCGCTCAAATTCAAGATTTTGTAAATCTAAGCTTATAAATAGGTCTAACCCACAACCTGTAAGACATCTTCGGGAGAATTGAGAAAAAGACAAAGCACTTTTAGCAACTTTACTCATACTTCAAATCCGCCATTTTCCAATCTATCACACCTTTAGTTTTTCGGTGAATCCACCAGCCTCCCGGTTGTGTTGGACCTCCGTGGGCCTCAAAAGTCCTAAAACCAACAGGCAACTTATATTGTGGACCATGATTCATATTGTAACATGGACAATGAATAAACGTACATTTTTAATATATAAAAAATGTGCATTATTTATGTATTAAATATATATTATTTGGTAATATATCAAATAATGTATCTTTAAAAAATGAACCATTAATGTATTAAAAATATATTCACCCAAAAAAAATGTATTAAAAATATATATATTTAGTATAATAAAAATGTATCTTATGTCAATGATTTATGGTCTATGGTGTAATGATTGACCCATATACTCGCCAACTTACACTTAACCATAATCATATTGCATATACCCAGATGAATGGAGCAAACAATATGACCAGTCCACTATCACTTAGTACAATAAGGACGGAGGATTAGTATTCTTACTATCGGCTGGAGGGATACCTTTGGACAACCAAAAATAATAATGATATTGCATAAAGAATGATTTTGAAGTTAGAATATATATTTGATAATGGATTCATGTCTCACTAAAAATAATTTTAGTATAAGTTACATATCAGTTCTTCTTTGTAACGTGTTGATTCTTAATTTGTTGAGATATTGTCATAAATGCCATACCTCGTGTATTATTATTATTATTATTATTATTATTATTATTATTATTATTATTATTATTATTATTATTATTATTATTATTATTATTTTATTATTATTATTATCAAATTGGGCAACTTAACTCCTCTCTTGTGATATAGTGTCATATAAGTTAATATGTCTGTTACTCTATTTTTGCTCTCTGGAGATGTGCCTAATGTTGTGTTTAGTTACTGCGACAAGCATATATAATTCATTAATTGTGTTTATCATCATAATGCCTACAAATTTAATTGTCATCACTCAAAATAGCGTGAAACCTCCGAATTCTAATATCTTCTTTCCACATAATAATTGATTAATGTCTATCAAAACCACCAATGACTCATCGTGCCATCTCATGCCTCTCACGTGCATAAGAGAAATGGAATTGAAATTCCATGAAAAATGAATTTCAGGAAAATTGATTCAATTGTTTGGTTGGTGGAAATGAAATTACTGGGAATATGGATTCCATTGTTTGGTTGGTTTTAGAAAGATAAGGAATAATGAATATAAAGACTAATATGCTCTTAAAAAGATGAATGAATAAATAGGTGTCTATGTAATTAAAAATTTTTCATAAGGGTAAAATGGTTCACTTATGTTATTTTTCTTCCCAATCCTTGTGGAAAACAAAATCCCACCCCTTTGCAAAGAATTCATTTTCCTCCACTTTGAGGAATCCATTTTTCAATGGAAAATGTTTTCCATCCAACCAAACAACATAAATCAATATTTTCCTTCACTTTGAAGAAAACATTTTTCATGGAAAATATTTTCCATCCAACCAAACACCCCCTTAGTTGCTTGATTCTCTCTCATGACTTTTTAGTATTGCTTTTTTATTTCTTTCTAAATTGTAAAAGTGTATACAAAGTGTCTCTAAATTTCGTTAATAATATTTTGTTAGAAAAATGACGAAATTTGCAACGTCAGTTATAATTTAGAAACGAGAAATAAGTAGGACCAACAACTTGTTTCGAGATGAGAAGGGGCAACGAGTATAAATGAATTCTATAATTACACTATAATTTATGACTGAAACAGTGAAAATAAAAGTATAATTAAGAAAACAAAAGATACCTAAAAAAGAGTGATTGAGTAATTAAGTAGAGTATATATGTTTTGTGTATTAAATGATTACAAGTTTAATTGTTACTAATATCCTCTCAGTTAAGCCTATTGCATGGTTATCACAACCACTATCAAAATATATTCATAGTGCGCAATGAGTAAAAGTCTAATATTTGTTGATAAGTTATAGTTCATTTAGTTAAATCACTATGATTTTTCCCTCCACAATTATGTCACGCCAGGGTGTGGGAACACCGAGATGTGAGATTCCACTCTTTTTCACAAAGAGTAAAACATGCATTTAACAAAGATGCATAGATAACTCTTCAACTCTTTAAATATTGCATTTCTTAACCAATGAGTCACATTGAGACATAATAGAATAAAGAGTAAATTACTAAAATGGTCCTTCGTCTATAGCGAAATTACTGATTTGATCCTTGACTATTATTTTTAACCAATTAATTTCCTCAACTTTAAATAGCTTAACCAATTTGATCATCCGTTTATTTTGCCGTTAAACATCCGTTAACTCGTGACCAAATTGATAATTTTGCTATAGTCAAGTGACCATTTCGATCATCACATGCACCATTTTCTCCGAAAAGTTAATTACTGAAATGGTTCATTGACTATAGCGAAATTACCAATTTAGTCCCGAGTTAACGGATGTCTAACGACAAAACAAACGGATGACCAAATTAATTAAAATTTTTAAAATTGAGAGACTTAATTGGTCAAAAAAATAATCAAGGACCACATTTATAATTTTGCTATAGTCAAAGGACAATTTTGATACTTAACTCTAGAATAAATATAACATTTGGGGGAATAATAAATATAAACATCGGGGCTAAGTTGGTATCTTTTTCAATAACTTTCGTCCCCATGATTCCATTCATGAAATTGAAAATAGCGAACAAGACACACCCCATTAAAGCACTGATCATTGATGAATAATGAATGACTTTACTAAAGAATCATATCTAAGGGGAAATAATATAAATAAATTCATTCCTAAAGTAACTCGGGTTCGGTCAAATCACACTTATAAAATTACTCTTTTATGGAAAAGAGTTGATCCGTTATTGTGAAATTAGTAATTTGTTTTTTTTTTTTTTAACTTTTAAAGGAGTGTTTGGTCCAAGTTATATATATAGAATAATTAAGGTTATATTTGTTTGGGAATAAATAATTCTCATTGATGTGAGAAATTCCGTAAGTCTCGCAGATCCGTAGAGTACGAGGTTAAATCGTAGGCTGGTTTGCTTGTTGGTTTAAGAGTTTAAGTTCAGTTGATGACGTAAAGTCAGAGGTTCCCGAGCTTGATAAGGCTAGATAGAAATTGCCAAAAGTCCCTCTCCCATGCATTTAATGCATTCTTTATAGGGAAGTTAAGGGGAACATATGTCGGAAGCTCGGCATGTGTAACACATGCTCTTCATGTAGAGGGGCAAGTTGAAGGCCTTGCGGATTTCGCCACGTGCCCGAAGATTGCACGAAGATTCATGAAGTCCTTACTTTCACCGCCGATGGGTTGCAGATTTCGTCATGCGCCCGAAGATTCATGAAGTCCTTACTTCCATCGTCGATGGGTTGCGGATTTCGCCACGTGCCCGAAGATTGCCCGAAAATTCATGAAGTCCTTACTTTCACCGCCGATGGGTTAGGCTAGTGTGATTGTTGACCAATTTTTAGAGTTTTTCTTGACCTAAACATGTCAAAAAAGAATCCGAGTTCCGGAAATTAAGGTAATTATCTTATCTTTGGTTAGCACCTTTATTGGAGGTTGGTCGGAGTTGTTCCATGTCGATTGATGGTTGGGAATAATTGCTCTAATTGACCCACCCGTATGTCGAGCAGGCATATGATACAGTCAGGTACCGGTCCAAACGTATATTCTATGTTTGATTTAAATATGCAAATTTCCTCCGGATGTAACATAACTTTCACATAAGGTTTTTAGCTATTGCAAGACACTGTGAGATGCAGTCTCATTTCTTATACATTATCACATTCACTTATTTTATTGATAATTTTATCATTTTAATCTATTATTTGAGTTAATTAATTTTAAATCATTTACTACCATTGCCTTATTTATTTTCATTAAAAAAAAAAAAAACTATTCAACCAAACAGTTTTTAAACAAACACAAAAGCTATTGCAAATGCCTCATAGTTTGATTAATTTTACCAGAGTAGATTTCCTGAAGTTACAGTGAACAAAACATCCTCAAAAAGCAATGATCATTGAAGGACTTTACCAAAGAAAGAGACTTGCAAATAACGACGGGAATGAATGCTTAATTGAAGCTTAGCACTAGCGGGCCTGGTAAAGATGCGATCTTTGGGAGCTTGTGGAGTTAAAAACGAAAAGGGGAGGGCGCAAATCTCGTGAGAGAGAGTGGGCAAGTTGAGCGCTGCAGTGTCTCCACGTCTGGAACAGGAAACAAGGGCGCTGCAACAAGCAAGAACAGCGGCAGAGTGAAAAAGCAACTGTGTCGGACGCCAAGAAAAACGCCCGTTTTTACCTTATAGCCACCACCTTTTCACTCTTTCACGTGCCCCATCACGTGACCTCCCCCGCGGGGCCTGGGTGTCGCGGCCGAGTTGCAGCCTTTCTTGGGTGTACTATGGTACAAAGAAAGAACCCCCTTTTCACTCTCCATTTATTAGCTCACTTCTCACCTTCTCAATCAAGAATCTTTATTCCCCTCACTGTGACTCTATGAGGGCTTGTTTTCTGTGTATTCGTGTGTAGAGACAGAGATTAAGGCATATAGAGAGAGATAGAGACTGAGAGAGTAGAAAAAGAAGAAGAAGAAGAAGAGTGGTCTATGTGAAGAAAGAGAAATGGGCTGTTTACAGTCCAAAACTGCCAATGTTCAGTCCCCAGACCAAGAGCCTTCTCACCCTGACTCCAAACCAGATCTTGGTATTGCACTTTCTATTTACTTTCTTTGTTTTGGTTCTCAATATTGGACTAATTGTGGTTTGTGTTAGTCTTTAGCCACTTTGAGTATTCATATGTATAGATGCTCTGATGGGTTATGGTCTATGGTGGATTGCATGTTGGAATTTGATCTGGGTTTGCTTCATTTAATCTCTTCTGTATCCATTTGCCATCTGTTTCTGCTCCTGTGCTTAAATTAATAACCTTTTTCACTCTCATTTGTGGGTTTGTACAAAGTTTTAGTCTTTTCTCATTCTATTTTTTGGATATCTCTTTGTTTGAAGCCTTGCTAGAAACTAGAATGCTGGTGTTATCACTTCTTTATGTGTATTGTAAATATCTGTCAATGTATCTAAACCTAAACAGGTTCCTTTTAAGTAGTTAATGGCTGTTTTTTTTCTCATGGTTTTGTTGAATTTGTGATGTGGATGGAGTGGATGAAAACCCCGGGGATCAAGAGCAAGTGCCTGCATTCGCGGAATTTAGTCTGGCTGAACTTCGAACTGCAACGAATGGATTTAGCAGTGAAATGATAGTTTCTGAGAGTGGAGAGAAAGCACCGAATGTTGTGTACAGAGGGAAGCTTCGAAGTAATCAGATTGTTGCTGTCAAGCGCTTCTCCAAGCAATCGTGGCCTGACCCCCAACAGTTTGTGGTATTGTAGAGCTTCTATGTGATGTGCCTGATTGTTACGTTCTTTGTGGACTAGTGTTTTGATCCTTAAAAATTGCGTTTATGGTGCAGGGAGAAGCTGCTGGAGTTGGGAAGGTTAGACACAAGAGATTGGTGAATCTAATTGGTTGCTGTGCTGAGGGAGATGAGCGACTACTTGTGGCAGAATACATGCCCAATGATACACTTTCGAAGCATCTTTTTCATTGTAGGGTTTAATCTTTTGGCTCGTTGAGATCTAGTGGAACATATGATTCGATTGTAGATTATGTTGGCATGACTTCTAGTCGTTTTCTTGTAGGGGATAAACAGCCTTTGCCCTGGGAAATGCGAGTAAGAGTGGCCTGCCATATTGCACAGGCTCTGGACCATTGCAATGCTGAAAACCGGAAAATCTATCACGATTTAAATGCTTACAGAATTCTATTTGATGAGGTATTTCTCTATTCATGCATCAATCTTTGGAAGTTTTAAAAAATCATGTCTTGCCCACAAAGGCGAAATTCCTTCGCTCCTAGGGCACCCACACCCCCCGCCCGACATAATAGTGGAGGGGTACTAAGCAGCCCATTAGATGGGAGGACCGATCAGTGCATGGTGCCCACCACATTGGGTGTAACTCCCACATTGCGGCTGCCAGGGCTTGGTCCTGCATCCTTGCCCACAATCTACCACCCAGGAACCAACTTATTTTGTTTGATATACTTACAGGATGGTGACCCGCGATTGTCTAGCTTTGGCCTGATGAAAAACAGCAGAGATGGGAAGAGTTATAGCACCAATCTAGCTTATACACCCCCGGAATTTTTGCGCACAGGTAAATAAGTAAATTTGAATTTCTCGACTTGTCTGTGACATTATTGTGTCATATAAAGGATCATTTGAGAAAGGACAAAGGCCCCCCGACATAAACAAGATTCAATTTCTCATGCCCTATAAATGCCATATGAATTAAATCTTGTTTAACTGGCCCAAGCTTTCGATAGTTTTTGAAATTATCTTATGATTCATGGATTGTATAATTCTTCTCGGTTGTCACTATTTATTTCTCTGTTTTAGGCAGGGTCATTCCAGAAAGTGTGATCTATAGCTATGGAACTGTTCTGCTGGACCTTCTGAGTGGAAAGCATATACCCCCGAGCCGTGTACGATACATTCTTTTCCTAGTACATCATATACTAGTCGAGTGTTCATATATTATTATTAGCCTTTTTAGTACCTCATACATTATTCAGATGGTCTTGGTTTTAACCACCGGAATGAGGAAACACTATAGGATTCGGTGGAACTAGAATAATTGAATATAGGGTAACGTATTTGCATTACTGGTACCTGATTGTTTCTTGGACCGATTCGCTAATTTCAAGTAATTATTTGTTCAGGCTTTAGATTTGATAAGGGGAAAAAACATATTGTTGCTTATGGATTCGTCCTTGGAAGGACAATACGCCAATGAAGATGCTGCTGCATTGGTGGAACTTGCTTCCAAGTGCCTTCAGTATGAAGCTCGGGACCGCCCGAATATCAAGTTCATTCTTACCGCTGTGGAACCCCTTGAAAAGCAGAAAGAGGTAGTATATATATATATATTCATTGTCATTTCGTGATTCTTGATCGGAGACGACTTATGTTCGACCGACTGATGAATGGTAAAAACGTAAATCGTTTTAATGTGTCAGGTTGCATCACATGTTTTAATGGGTCTGACGAAAACCGCCCCTGCTGTGGTCCCCACCATGCTTTCTCCTCTCGGGAAGGCATGTGTGAGGATGGACCTCACGGCTGTGCACGATATCTTGCTTAAAACGGGTTATAAAGACGAGGAAGGTGCAGAAAATGAGGTGAGCTTAGGAATCAATTTCGACACCACTAATAAAATTGGTTATGATAGAAGGGCTCGGGTTTTGCATTTTTAATTTTGGAAGCTGGGAAACTTATATCGTGTATTCTTTGGGAAGCTTTCGTTCCAAGAATGGACACAACAAGTG